TTTTTTAAGATATGTTCGTTTATACTTTACTTCTCTGAATACGCGATCATGAAGTATATTTTTTCTTCGCCTGGCCTCATTTGAAACACGTCAAATAATTTTTGTTAGCAAGAGAGAAAAAAAATGTTGAGCGACCCGGGGCGATGAAGAGAACAATTAAGACACATTATTCACCGCGTCACGTGTGAAGGAGCCATTTTGTTACCCCGTGTGAATGTTTCATGAGACTGTTAAGTGTTAGCGACCGTTACACGACAATGGGCCATCCCTGATCCTCGTTCATGAATAGTTAAGCGCCTCTCGCCTCGGCCATGCACAAGGAGCCGTCTTTTGTCAGATATAGACCACCTTTATGGATCTGGCCGCTCGACCTCCCTCCGCGCTGAAATACGGGCGAGAGTAACTCACCGCCGGCTCAATGCTCGCGCGAATGTCCGGGTGATTCTCGCTTTTTATAGCCGTATCGACTGAAGTAAGACGCGGAGGTCGAGGCGCGTCGAGTGTCCGTGTTTGCGTTGCTGATTCGCTCGCAGTCAGGCCGAGAGTCGAGCGATTCGCCCGCGAGACGCTCGGCGGGAATCAGCGCCGCCATTGATCGGCTGCCGGAAGCCGGATCTTGGAATATATGTATACATAGGGTATGTCATATATATATATATATATATATATATATATATATATATATATATATATATTATATGTATAATGTGTGTGTGTGTGTGTGTGTGTGTGTGTGTGTGTGTGTGTGTGTGTGTGTGTTGTGTGTGTGTGTGTGTGTGTGTGTGTGTGTGTGTGCTGTGTGTGTGTGTGTGGTGTGTTATTGAAATGCGTAAGTTCAGGCTTTTCTAACCACGTCGAACAACCAGTATTCATACGAAATAAGTATTCGGTAATGGTTGTCTTGGTCGTTGAATCTAAGTTGTTGGTAGTATTCTCTTTTTTTTCTATTAATGCATCCTATTTTTCAGCCATAACTTTTTTTTTATCATAAAAGTAGGTCTATCTATTAAGCTTTCGTTATGTCCCTCTTCTTATTCCTTGTCAAATCTCTCCCACGTTCTATCTCTCTTTCTCTTCATCAGTCTCTACTCTCTCTCTCTCTCTCTCTCTCTCTCTCTATCCTCTCTCTCTCTCTCTCTCTCTCTCTCTCTCTCTCTATATATATATATATATATATATATATATATATATATATATAATATATATATACATATCCCTCTGCCTCTGTCTCTCTTGTGAGCCCTTGTCATTACCCGTTTCTTTCTTCCGCTTAATAGTTCTTATGAGAATAATACGGCTACAGTATTAATGCCTCGCGCCGCATTTCTGTACCCAAAGACCTCAATGGTGTTTACGTTTCATCCAACTTGTTCTTGACGTGTGTCCATTTGCCTCTCCTGTCATGCAATAGCACTTGATTGGGTAATAAGGTGTTCCAACGGCTTGCAATTAAGAGCCCGAGAAATGCACCTTAACGATTAAAGAAGAGGAAGAAGTTGGAAGTTATTTAATAATGATTTTCTTCTAATTCTGATGCATTCTCGCTGCAAAAGTTGGTTCTTGTCTTTACTTCTTGCTCATACATGGCTTTTATATCTTTCCTTTTAGTTGTCAACATATAGTCCTTTGTTCATTTGTTTATCGATGCATTTGGCTATGCATTATTGATCTTTACTGCATCTTTGCAGTTGCTGATATCAAGAGTGGTAAATAGTCTTTTTTCTACTCGCGACCCCCTTCCCAAACACTTTCCTGACCCCTCGCCAACAACCTTTCAATTCATATTCACCTATCTACACACGCTTTATTTACCTAATTCTAATTTGAAATAATGAAATAATGATATATGGCTTCATAGAATATCATAATAAGATTTTTAGTATTACCACTGACGTATACTTAGCGAATTGGCCTACAATGTTTTCTCTCGAAGTCCTCGAGACTCCCTTGCTAACCCGCTGTGGCCCGGCGGTAGTGGACGACTGTCCACTGAATATATATCCATAACTATATATATATATATATATATATATATATATATATATATATATATATATATAACTGTACACACATTTGAAAGTTCTCCACAAACAAAAAGAAAATTATAGGGAACCTTAAATATATATACATATAAATATGTATATATTCATAAATATATGTACATATATATACATGTATATGTATATATATCGAAATCTTTGATTTGACATTTATATTGGATTATGTTTTTCATACACATTTAGAGTTTTCATTAGACCGTTGAGCGATGTTGCCAAGTCGCTAATATGTTACGACTTTTATTTTGAATATAGTAAGATTCAGTGTTTAACAGCTTGTAAATGAATTGTGGATATGTTTTTTGCAATGATTGCAGGATGAAATACCTTGTATATGGAAGGGGATAGTGTTCGAGAATGACATCTCCAACCCTGTCTCTGTCTGGTGTGTTGTTTTGCTCAGAGCGTTGGGGGCCTTTCAGTGTAGACAGGTGGGTGGAAGA